CCAGGCGTGACATACTGAAAGGTTTCATACAGATTAAGCGTGGGCCGGTGGTGCAATACAAAAAATGAACGTTTCTTGACAATTTGACAAAGCACGTACGGTAAAATATACCTTTCCAGATGATAGCAGAAGAAATTAGAAAGCCGAATCGATCAGAATGATTTTGCTGTAGCTGTCGAGCTAATATGGCGACGGAACCTTTTTCTTTTCTGGGCCGAGTAAACACTCGCCCGCGAACGACGCCGACAAACGGACTCTTGTTTTTATATGATGTATTTGACGTAATGACCCATTGTGTTTCTATCTATCAACGGAGTGAAGCGTTTAAGACGTAGCATTGTGGAATACGGGTTAATATGAAACGCTCTCGTTCACATGCCATAAAAATACGCCCGTCGATGGCACGCATGAAGAACTTTTCAAATAGGCATTCGCGTCCTTCGAAGCTTGAATATGTGGAGGTTTTGCGGCGCATCGAAGCTAGTTATTTTACATTAATCGATCGTTTAACTGCGAGCCTTTATTGATATTTTTTTTTCAGTAAATGAGCATCTCATTAGCGACCTGCTTTATTGATTTGTACATTAAAGGAACAATTATTGGCTTTTAAATAACGGGCGTGTGCACGCAAGGAGTAAAACTATGCTACTATGGACCTTTATTTTATCTTGAGTTAGTGACATCATATTTTGTCGATTCATGCTATAATGTGAGTAAATTAAAGCAGCAACTTTGTTAGTTAGTTTAAGCCTCCACAGTGATGTAACTCCTTATGACGCATAAAGATATATCAATAAGTATATTATTCTTTATTATATTAGATGTTATGAAGTAAGACAGCCTATTTGAGTATCTAAAAAGCCACTGTATGATCTGTAGTTTATTTGTAATGTGACATTACTGTATTACGCTGATGATAGCATTTGGCTGTTGAAATCTGTACACACATTGGTACTTGGTAGTTGAAAAAAGGTAAGCTGCGATATTGTTTTGGCTAATAATAATGTATGATAAATTAAAATAGTGGGATCATGTAATTTATCATGAACTGGTATTATAATTGATAGGGAGTAAACTTTCCATAAATAATACTAATATATTACAGGTCATTTCTGATATGTTTCGATAAGGCCTTGTTTGGTACTGTAACATTGCATCTTTGCATGATCAAAAGTTTAAATACATCTACATTGCTGAGATACCTTTTGTGTGGCAGTGAATAGCAGTTAACAATTAAATGAGCAGTAGAAGAATAATTGCCTTGAGGTGGTTTTCCATATTTAATGAGTTTTTCGTTTGCCAGCCTGTGCTGCAAACGGGTTTTTACTTGGCAGTATTTTGTCCATCGTCCCATATTTGATTGAGTGTGTTCATGACAGTTAGAATTGATATCCTGCTTTTGTTTGACGAACTAATTCCTTGAAAAATTGAAAATATTGAATGCGGACCTTTGTAATATATCTAAATAAAACCGGATCAGTATAGTATGGGTCTTCATACAATTTATTTTAAAAAATCTTTTCATTTACTCTTGAATTGAGTATTACTAATAATTTTATTAAAACTTATATTTTGTGATTTAATACTTGAAATTTCAAAGAGAATACCTACGGCCAATTCGCAATAAATCAATTATTAAAAGTGTGTTGTGGAAGTGTCATATTATGAAGCATATGTTTTCAAAACTATTGTGGTTTAGGTGAAATTGCATAAATTGCCACCTTCCATAGAAGCGCATAATAGCAGATGCTTGTTATTGGAAAAAAACTTCATTAGCGCACACAATTAAACAACTTCAATATTTTTTGGGTTGTTAGTGCTCGTCTCTTGGGAATTTGATAATCGTTGGAGTGTTTTCATCAGTGACTCACCCTATTTACTTCGCCGTATAAAATAACTTTTTGGGGAATGTTCTAGTTGCAATGAAATATTAGGAAATAAAATATATCAGCTTTATGAGTATATTTTTTTCAAAATAAAAACAAACTTATTGATAGTAAACCTTGGTGAAATAAGTTGTCTTCCAGTCATTTGATATTTCTGCGGAGTATGGTATAGAGATGACAGTTATCTCATTGTGCTGATTATTAGGTACCAACTAATTACTAGCTTATTACGTAGAACACTTTTTAGTAAAGTATCTATAATCATGCCAGTATACTTGAATTTATTTAATTTTTGTTATGTATGTTGCAAGCAGGGATGGCCATTTCCGAATACTAAACTATTCCGAATACATTCTAAAATAATGTTTTCGAATCTGGAATTCCGAATACATTCTAAAATCGAAAATAACACATTTTTGGTTAGTTTATTAAAACTCAGTGAATTAGGAAATAAGGTTCAATAAAAATATCAGAATAAAGCCACAAACCTACAATATATGTACACAATGTAATTGATAGTTTATAGCTATCAATAAAGAATAATAGCAATTTGTGACACAGTCAGTTTATTAAAATTATTCACTTTGTACAAATGACCATATGAAATGATAGCCAAAGAGTTGTCTGACGCTTTCTATCATTGGTACCATGATATTACGATAATAGTCAAGTCTATTGACAAAAATACTACTTGTATTCAGATAATTGTGTATATTTTCTGAGAGTAATAAAATTTATTGTCAATACAGGCAACTGAAACAAGCAACAACAATCGAAAATCCATCATGCCTTTAAAAATTCTAATATTTAAGCATAGAGTATTCTACTACCTACCAGTATATTTGTATATTAATTTATGTGTAACATATTGTTGTGTTTGAAATTAGAAATAAATTAGTAGAGGATAGATGACCACCACTGCCAGCCGCGCAGCCAGGATTTTCGAAATCGGAAATTCCCATTGCCGCCTGTAACACCCACCGCGATTCCGCGATCGTTAAAAGAGCCGTCTTCTCGGCGTATAATGATCATCCTGTTACGTAAAATATTCAATCCGTGACAACTACGAGATTCTAAAATATCTTTATATATTAATTTAATGTGTCCAACGTAACTCGCGGTTTCTTCTTCTTACGTCAAAAAAAAAAACATTACTATTCGGTCCACGGCGATCTGTGACCTAAAAGTACGAGATAAACTGCCTGATGTATTTAATTTTAATACGTATTTTTGCAATCTTGCCAACTCGTTATCGCCGTTAGAAAAATCTCAAATAATGATATAAAATCCTGTTAAGTGTATAGTATAATTCATTTCATACAATGAATATACATATAAAGTTTAGCAGTAAATTAAAAATACATATTCATCGCCGCGATTGTGCCACCTGTTAAGAGAGTCGACTTTTGCAACAAATAATATAACAACGAATACAACGAGTTGTGCAAAGTGATGAATTCGTGACCGATACGGGCATATTTAAAATGTCTTGCTTTATTAATTTAATTGTCTTCAATTTAATCCGCGGTTGCGTCGACAAAATAAAATCCTCACCACTCTCATATACCATTGCAATCCGCGGTCATAAGAATAAAAACGTGTGGTAAACTGCCCGATTAAATAATGTTTCGATCCGTATTTTGCGAATTCGGCAAATATTTAGATTTTATAAAATATTTAGCTCAATCTAAATGCTGCAACTCTGATTATTTTTAGATAAAACCGTTTGAAAAATCCATAAATCTTCTGTAACATCTCAGAGTGAAATTTATTTCATCAAAACAAAATTGATTGAATATACTTTGAAAATATTCGACGGCAATTTAAAGTAATGGATAATCAGGCAAATCCCGCCCTCAATTCGTGACGATATGTTTCTAAACGCCGACCAAACATAATGTGTGCCAGAGGCACACGAAATTCTGCGATTTTCACTGCCTAGAAAAGCGTTTTTTAAATTTTCGCGGGCCTCAATAAAACTTATATTGTTCACGGTTTTATTTTCAGTATTTTAAATTGCCGCTTTTCAATCAAAAAGTTGCGTTGTCTTTAGAAACTCGCCGCCGATGATCGTATTTACCAGATTCACAATTCCGTGCGCGTGCAAAAATAAAATAATTGTCATCGTTATCGTGGAACAAATTTGTGAAAAATTTTCGTTTTAGAGAAAATAACACAAACGTAAAGGCATTTACGGGCTAAATAACACGTTACGCTGATGAGTGATGAAAACAATCACGCGCAAGTTTCTATCGAGAATGTTTTCATTCAACGGAAACGTCTTGAGAGCGGCGTCGAAAATGTGTGACGTCACACAAATATCCGATATTCTTATGAACGCTAATTCCGATATTCGAATAACGAGATATTCGAATACATTCGAATACTTTATTCGAATTGGCCATCCCTGGTTGCAAGTCATCATTATTTGGCCTGTAAGGTTGTTAATATTGATATTTTTTCACTATCTAAAAAAAAAACTTTTATATATATATAGATGCAATTTATTTTCACTTTCTTCGTTCTATAATTTAGGAATTGATCAAAATAGATTGTGAGTGATTGTGACTGTGATTTATTTTATTATTACACTTTCATGATTTATTCATGTTACCTGGTGGGTAATGCATTGAATTTCGGGGTTAAATACCTGAAGGATAAAATTAGATTTCACTATTATACTCATAATTAATAGCTGAGAATATAAAATTTCATGAATATATTGTATGTATTTGCTCTCAATGATAATACACAATTTTTATAGTATATATAAATAATGCCACACTGTTGAACTGAGTTGATATATGCCTCGTGGATCTTCCAATCAGGCAATGTAGCTATTGATGTTCAAAAATAGAAAATGTGTTGCCAAGGTTCTACTTATCCTGGAGAAATTTTTATCTGTGTTGGCCTCAAATATTATTGTATATGATTTTTTATCATCTTCTTGTTTTGTTTTGCCTGTGTTCAACAGTAGAATATCAAATAGTAAAATATATATAAAATAAATATTTTGAAATTCTATTTATCAGAAAATGCTGAAATAGTTAAAATGAATAGAACATAACTCTAATAACATTATTTAAATTTACCCCTATTCTATTTTTATTTCAGAATACAACGGTTTTGAAGAGAAGATTCAAGAACTTCGAGAACAAATAATGAATCAATCATTAAGTAGCGGAGGTGGAGGAAGTATCTTAACATCACAGAAGAAAACGTTATATGTTAGATCATTATTTGATTATGATTCCACAAGAGATTCGGGATTACCAGGAAAAGGTATGCTTTGTGGAATAATCTCATATTATTAAGGGACATAAAAATGGATGGACACTCAAGTTACCGGAACTTTTATGTTATTTTAATTGTTTCAATGGATGCATATGTAACTTACTAGAAGATTAAATTTAAATAGAATATACTTTATTTTCAACAATCATAATTACAGGGTGATCCAATCGAACAGATCCCAGGTCATTTGGAGAATATTCTAGGGAAAACATAACTTTTGTGTGAAGCAGCTTGGTTTACTTAAAATTTTGGGAACAATCAAACCACAAACAGAAGTTCAAGCGTTAGATAGATTTTTTCATTTTTGTAGAAGTATTTAAATGTTTTTAGGTCACCCTACATGTAGTTTTGTTAATGTACTTTTTGTCAAGTACATATCTTTGAAAATTCTTTTTAATCGGTGTATCCTTGATTCTATTTCACCACATTTGGGGGTGAGCTCAACCAACACTCAAATTATTGAAAGAATTTTAAGTGCAATATTCTATTGCTATAGTATTTAGCCTTTGGTGCCTGTGTCACGAGTAGAAATATGTTACTCAACTCAAAATGCACGTTTTATTCAAGTATTGAGTGTGACATGTGTTTAAGAACGAGTATAATTTGTTTATTCTGAGTAGTGATGACAATCTAAACTCAGACAATAATAAATTTCAATTTTTTAAATCCAGGTTTATCATTTCGTTATGGCGATGTTTTACATGTTACAAATGCAAGTGATGATGAATGGTGGCAAGCGAGAAGGGTGGTAAGTCCTTTTTCTAGTAACCGCCTTGATTGCGTGCAATCGTTTCAATCATTTTGGTTTTACCTAGTTTTTTGTAGACATTATTGGGCCCAATGATTTTATATCAATTTTGAATAAAATGGCTTCGGTATGTATTGGAATAGCCTCTAGGTTTATTTTGTTTCAATTTTTATATTAGCTGGTGATGCCTAATTGAACTTTATGGTTAGTAATAAATCAAACAATAATTTTGGCAAACTATCGTTTTCTGTGCTCCGTTATAGAATATACCAAATACTGATATAAATATACATCGAGTCCACCAACACATCGTTCCAGTTCTATGTACATTGGCAATATTTACTTTACATCAAATTTCACTTCATAAATGATTTACTCAGCGGTATCACTCTGCAATACATACATACCAAACCGAGGTCATAAATGTAGGTTTTCAAGCTTGGGCAATAAATAAAATAGGCTCATTCCTATGTACCATCAGTGGCCTACACTAGATTGTTAATCAATAGGCTCTGCCTAAAACACCCAGGCATTGAAAAGAAAAGTTGTATAAATCAATTTCATAAAAGATGGGAGACATTCTATCCTGTACATGGCCGAGTTTGAACTGCTGATAGGGGCATGTATGCTTTACCTTCAGCAAAAAAAAAAGGTTTGAAAGGTAAAAACAACTTTCTTCCATAGGAGGGAGGCAGAGACAGCAATGAATTTGGAGTTGTACCATCAAAACAAAGAGTAGAAAGAAAAGAGCGAGCAAGGTTAAAACAAGTTAAATTTACACAAAATCAGCCGATGAATATTGACGGAAGGGTGAGTCCCAACTATATAAACTATTTAGAAATTTTTTAACCTGTTAATTTCTGTCTGCATTGCTGAAGGTCTAGCCTAAGGGTCCCAATTTCTTGATTCGCATGGACCTTAAGATGACTTGCTTGAAACATGTGAATCTCCTTGAATAATCATGTTAATATTGTAATGTACAAGTAGTATTACTAGAAACCATACTTCTTATCAAAACTCCACACAGGAATTGCTTTAAAGCAAGATGATATTAGATGTACCATGTCAAAAACAAATTTGTAAAATAAGCTTTCTAGAAACAAACTAAAGTAATTTGTTGAACTTAATTGATTAAATGAAACCTTGAATAATTTTTTGAGGAAAAAAACTGATGATCGTACAGTACTTGTGGCACCATCGCCATGTCATGTGATTTATACATAATTTACCGTCTGTTGCAAAATAAACCACAATAACGTAAGCAATTTCATTTGGCTATTTTGTTTTCACCTTGTGTATGCAAATCTCATGGACCCCTGGCCGAGAACCTTACCAGCTACAGATACATTATGTTCGGAGCGCTTGTATTGAGATTGAGATGATATCAAATGTGTTGAATTTCTTTAAAGTGATGTCTTAACTACCAAACTTGAATAATAGTTTATTACCTGTTTGCTATTGTGTATGATTGTCATATTATTATTTGTGATAATATTATTTATGTTACTTGTTTAGGATTCATTAAACAATGTTAAGAGGAAGAAAAGTTTGTTATTCAGCAGAAAATTCCCATTTTATAAAAGCAAAGAAAATCTTGATGACGTCAGTGACCAAGAAAGTAAGTCTTTTCTTTCAAATCTCAAACTTCTTAATCTCCCACAATTGGATTTAAAAGAGTGACTCAACATTGTTTATATATTGGTTTGGGATGAATTTTCATAAGCAGACATTGAAATTGGAATTCCTCATTATAAAGACTGTGTGGTCTGTTATACGGGATAAGTACAAAACAACTTTGTATAAGTAAAGTTATGATAAATACTCTTTGGTAAGATATTTAACCTTTTATTATAAAGAGCGATATAAATTTGAAGTAATCCTTTACTTGAGTACAATTCAAATGTTTGTCCAAGTTTGGTAGAAATCAATTTCTCCCTTTGTATGCCTATTGTGACATATTCGGGAGTCTATTGTGAGGTAACTGGATATTTTCCAGACTTAATATACAATTGAAATTGTATTATGGTGATAAAATTTTGAAGCATGTCTGTAAACAATTAATTCTATATGGATGACTATATCATGTCGGTTTCATGAATTGGAAACCTTTTCATTTGCTTTTCAAACTTGTATGTATATAATAATGGGTGCTCCCGAAGTATACGAACCAAGATGGCGGACATAGGAACGTAACAGGTTAGGGTTAGGCGATAATTTTTTTCCAATTTTCCTTATTTTAGTCCCATTATCAGTTCGAAGACTAGCCAAGAGCCTCCCGTAGTATTTATACCTAAAATTATGGTCTAATCCTAACCTAGTACACATATTACATTCCGTTGTCCGCCATCTTGGTTCGCATACTTCGGGAGCCCCTAATAATGTATGTAATAACTCTGTAATAGTAATTTAAAAATTGACAAAATATAGTTTTATAACCCATTTCTTGCCTGTTCCAATGACAAAATACACTCTATTGTTATGTTATCACTTGAATGCTTTAGTTATGAAACCTTATATTTTGCAATTTATTTTCAGATCACCTCGTTCAGAATCATCCAAGTGACAGTGAAACTAGTTTGAGTAAGTTGAGAACTTTTCCACAAACTACATTGCAGCCAGGAAACATGACAAATCTTTGAACCAAATTATTTCACTCAACATTCCAAATTATTGATCTTAAAAATAATTCAGTTTAAAAAAAATTTAGTATTCAGAGCCCAGCAGTATCCGCTGAAATGGCTTCATCAAATTGCCTCCTTAACTTTTCTGTCTTTTTTAATTTAAACCTATTGAATACCAATTAACTTCTAAGAGTTCAATACAGAATATGTTACCCAATGTTCACATTCAAATATATTTTTCATAATACATTGTAAAGCAATCAGTGGTGGGAATCAGCCCGTTCACACCGGTTCTATAGAACTGTCTCGCGGAATTTTATGAGATCTATGACTTTTTGTAACGGAACCGCATGAAAAATATGATATTTTTATGGAACCGGCTGACAAAAAAATTGAATCCTACCACTGATTGTAAATGTCAATCATCTATATCGTTGATATTTCTTTTCAATGTTGCACTGTATCAATCTTGAAATTGTTGGCAAGACTCGACATCTCAAACCTCAAATCGGGAGATTTGTTGCACATGCCTAATATAATTGTTACAACTCACAAATGGTTGTGTGTGAGTACCTTTAATATGAACTCAACCTGGTTGCAACTTCCATTATTTATTTAATTCAGTAATAACTTTTATACTGTTTGTTTATAGAATGGGAAAGCATGGAATTTTATTATTGTGTGGCTCCATAAAATATTATTATTTTGGGAGCAAATATTACATTTCTTTATTTGTTTTTCAGAAGAAGAAAATATATTGTCCTATGAAACAGTGGTGCAGAAAGAATGTGAGTTATTTTAATCGGTTTTTTATTACATTATTCTGCTTTTGTATTGACCATTGCTTGAATTTTCATCCATTTGCAATATTTTTCTCCATTGGCTTTTTGTCTGAAACTATATCTATGAATATGTTTTAGTAAACTGGTTCAAAAATGAAATAAAGGATTGTGGTAGCTCATTTTGTTAGAAACATTTAAACATATGGTATAACATAATTGGTGCTCCAGAAGTTTGTGTACCAATATGGAGGTAACTAATTTTGTTCGCCTACTTTACATCAAGTTGTGTAAAGAGACTGAAGCCTATTTGCAGGAGGTGTATTCACTTGGCAAACCCAAACAGTCCCCGAACTCGTAATAGAACTAAAATAAGGAAAATCGGAATAAAATCAAAGTATAATCCTAACCTGGTACACACACTACGAGAGTACCAAATAATCTGTATATAATATTTTGTGGGCGTGAAAATGTCAGCAATTCATTCAATTCATTAATTTAATATGTTATTTCTCCCATCAAAAATTCCATTTTACTCATTTTTTATATAAAATCTTATTTTCAGTAAAATACACAAGGCCTGTTGTAATACTTGGTCCGTTCAAAGACAGGATAAATGATGACCTCATTGCTGAGAATGCAGAAAAATTTGGAAGCTGCGTACCTCGTGAGTATTAGAACTGTGTTACATCGTTCTTATGTACCGATTTTCAAAAAAGTGTGTTCACAAGCACTCACTGAGGAGGTGAAAATAATGCCATCTCCATAGACTTGAATTGAATATAATGAAGACTATTGTAAGCAAACAGCTGAATTCACAAGTTTATATCTTTTATGGATGACAATGGCTAATTTGATTGAAATAATTGAATGCAGTTGATTTTTGACTCATGTCTATATCACACTTTTTGAGTTCTGCAACGATTCCATTCATCTGACTTACTCTGAGTGAGTGACAAAAATATGTACACCAGCTTTTCCAAAATTTTAAGTAAAATTTTTTTGTTGTTAAATTTTTATTCATTGGAATTTTTTTATTTTGTTTTGGAAATTCAATTCTCATTCTGACCCATTACGAGCTCTATACATATGAAAATTTTTTTTTTGAAAAATTCATTATTTACATGCCAGTTATTCAATTTTTCAGATACAACGAGAGAGCGAAGAGAACATGAAAACAGTGGACAGGATTATCATTTTGTTACTTCTCGAGAACAAATGGAAAAAGATATTCAAAACCACCTGTTTATTGAAGCCGGTCAATATAATGAAAATCTTTATGGTACAAGCGTTCAGTCTGTGAAAGATGTCGCCGAAAAGGTAGAATTGTTCGATTCGGATCATTTTAAATCGATTTTCACGATTCTCTCAACACATAAACACATTCTCTCAACATATAAATAACATTCCTTTATTGGTTTCCAATCAATTCGAATTAGAATTTTAGATAGCGAGAAAATGATTTTCAAGATATCAAATGGTCTACTTTTTTAAGGTGTCAGGAACTTCCTTAAAAAGCGAAATGCTTTGTACAAGATCCAAATTTTAATACCTAATTATTTCCTAGCACATTTGCTGTTACAAAAATAATCTTCACAGAAATCTTCTTGTGTTTTTATTTTGATACTCATGATAATTATCTCAACTTTAGAATTCCGTATCATCGCTTTTATCTTTCATTTGGAATGTCATTTGTATAGATGATTTACAGTTGACAAATTCGGTGTCAAACTGTCAAAACTCATTCTAACTTTAATTTCTTGTTTAATTTAGAAAAAGCACTGCATACTCGATGTATCAGGAAGCGCCATCAAAAGACTGCAAGTTTCAGGTCTATGGCCGATTGCCATTTTTATCAAACCTAAATCCGTACAATGGTTAATGTAAGTGCAATATATAAAATTTATTTTTATTTTGAATCACAGAAACACAATTCTCTGAAAAAACTTTTATAGTGAAAAGCGTAGGATGACAAACAATAGTTTGATTTATTTGTGTAAATGATAAATATGTTGAAGGGTATGCAAACAGCTGAACTCTTGTATTATATATTTTTTTATATTTCAATTTTTGTATTTGTCAAATATGGCAATGTGTGGATGTATCGTTATTCGCACACACTCCTGCTTTTTTATATATGATACTCGTCCATGCCATCCGCTTTGTTTTGTGCAAGCTTCTTCCGAAATCTAATGATATGTAGGTAGCTGCTATATTTGGTAGGGTCAGAGTTCAGAATTGCTTACCCACCCAACTTATTACACCCTGAGTGGGACTGGGCATAGGATTTGAATTAGGGAGTTGAAACCTGTGATGCCACTATACCACATTGTGCCCACATAGCTAATAATATTAAGAAATGTGGAATCTTTTTAATGTATAATATACTGCTCTTCACTTGATGCCCATGATACTAATTTATATGAATATTGAAACAGGTTGCTGTAAACCTGATATGCTCAACAAATTAAGATTTTTTGTTCAAATTTCAGGGAATTAAATAAACGATTGGTTGAAGAACAAGCCAAGAAAATTTATGAAAGAGCAGTTAAATGTGAACAAGAATTCGGAGAATTTTTTACAGGTAATATTACTAATACAATATTCTTATATTTCTTTTGGTGACTGTTTACTATAATACTACTTATTGCTTGGTGAATAACAGAGATGGCCTAAACCAGGGGTGTGCAACGAGTGGCCAGCATAGAAGTGCAAATTTTTGACTGGTGTCATGAGGTTATCATGAGATCAATAACCAAAATTTTTGTGCCTGCAACTCTAGTAAGACTATCTCAAGTAGAAGTGCGGCCCTCGGTTTCGTTCAGTTATTTGTATCTGGCCTCGTGTACTAAAGATTGCCTACCCCTGGCCTAAACCAACTAATCTAGTATGCCTAAATACACTCTTAAATTGGTCACGATCAACAATGAACACATGGGCAATGTGCATTGAACGAGTTCGTATAAGGAAGTTCAGGAAGGTGAAGATTGACAATGGTTGATTCCCTATTTTTCATAGTTTCATGAATTAAATGAGGAGCGGTCTGGCTCCACTGTACCTTCAATTGCTAACATTTTCAAATGAAACTGTTTAATTTAGGTAAATATGTACATATCAGGTACACCAATAATATATGATTTATAATATGTAACATTAATTCATATTTTCTCTGTTTACAGCCGTTGTACAAGGAGAGAGCATAGATCATTTATATTCTATAATAAAAGAAGTTATAAATGATCAATCTGGGCCTACAGTGTGGATTCCGAAAGAGAGTAATAACGAGGCATCATAGCAGTTGGTCAAGGAGGCAACAGGTAAACTACTTGTCTCTTCCGTCATGGTTTCCAATAATGTCCTATTGTTGTGAATGTGAAAACTGTTCCAGAATGTGAATTGAATGTTTGTCAATTGCATTCAACCAAGGTGTTTCAATTGATTATTGGGTACTCCCGTAGTATGTGTCCCAGGTTAGGGTTAGTCCATACTTTCATTCCGATTTTCCTTATTTTAGTTTTATTACAAGTTCAGGGACTGTCTGTGTTAGCCAAGTGAATATACCCCTGCCCATAGGTTTAAGTCCCTTTACACAACTTGATGTAAAGTAGGTGGAAAAAATTGGTTACATTCATATTGGTACACACACTTTTCGAGAGCCGATGATTGTGCATTTATTTATCGGACATGAAGTGGATTGTTTAACTAAATTGTTGTTGGGGTGTAGTGAAAGTTGCTAGAAAGCGGTTGATTTCATTTCTTCTCTAATTTAGATGAATTTTATAGTCATAGTTAACAGACACGCATTCTTAGTCCATTTAGTACACTTCCTTTAACGTTTGTATGGAATTTCGCTGACAATGCAATGATTGCATTCGCTATATTAGTCAGTTGATCTTGTGTCTATATATTTGCATATTGCTATCTTGTTTCGGCATCAGCTGTCATTTTTAACAACAAAATGGTAACATTAAAATGTTATGTCGCAGGATGAAATCTTGATGTTGCTAAGTGCTGTCTGAACGAAAAGGTGATACAGAAGATTATTTGAAGATCATCACCAAAAAGACCAACGGATTATTTGCCCTTGTGTGATCAGCACTGGGTCGATGCTGGTACAGTGGCCACCTATCATTAATAGGGATGTCCAGAGGCATTGAATCACAAATAGTTATATATTTTTAAATAAAAGATAGGGGCATGTTTCCATGGAGTAGAATAGTTTGGATAACAGTTTTATGCTGAAATCAGCATACACCATGTTAAGAGTTTGAAGTTGAAGAGTTTGAGTTTAAAAATGTTTTAAAACAAAAAAAATATTTTAAAGAAATTGTTAATCATGGTTACTGCTGTACAACTAAAAGCGTCTATCATGATTTGTGTAATTTTATGAACCAAATTTTTGTTAAAAAGTATGTTATGAACTTTCATCAGAACTGGACATCCCTATAATCTGCTCACATATCAAACTGCACGAATCTGTAAATCTGTCAATAATTTTTTTTTTATTAAATCATATTTTAGGTATGGTCTTCTGACCACACATTCTGTAGTTTAATTTAGTAAAGTTAATTTTATTTTCATTGCAATTTATGAATTATATCTCAAACCACCTTACCTGCAAAAAACCTGTTCCTTCTCCCGACATATATTTAATTAATTATAGCGATTTTATCTATTGTGAAAGCTAGAATGTTACTGATATAGCAATCGTTAGACCGTGTCACCTACTCAAGTAGTAATTAACGGGTGTGAATTATAATCTGCCTTCATACTAACTTGAGTACAATAACACTTTAATTCGTAGCCTAATATCATAAACGCATTACTGTGGGTCGTGAGGTCAGAATTGGTATGTTTTCATTTTGGTCTAAATTATGAATTCCTTGAGACTTTCATTGATGATGAAAGTAAGGAAGATTCAAAACAGAAATCAAAAAGCGTAAAGGTGTAGCATTATGTTACCAAAATTTCTGAGTCAAAATTGTTTTCAGCCTTATATGGAGCTTGCCCCGACTTCACAGTTCTGCCAAGAACTACTCTCAAATAGGTCCACAGCAATAAAATTTGGGATTCCCTGGCCAAATTTAGTTACATCTGTGCACATGAATTTGTCCATTTATAAACGTACATCTAATAACGTCAAACTTTTTTTTCTTGTTTATAAGGTTTAAAAAATGGTTATATTTTGGCTTCAGAAAATCTATTGGTAATAAGTTAATGTGATGTCAAAAACAGTATGGTTGATCTGAACCTTTCAGTCAAGGATTCATTTCTGGTTGAATAATTCCCATCATGAACTGTCACATCATAGAAGTGCGAAGTGAACAACTATCCTGTTTTCGTTTAGGTTTTACTGGTGCTCTATATTATTTTTTTGTATATTCTTTTACTGGCTGCTTTAAATCTTGTCCCGTTTCATATGATTTTAGAATCTAATGTAACAAATATATTGTTATTAAAAAACATATCTTTGTAACTGCTGCTTTGTGTGTTTACTGAACGCTATCAGTCTGCAAAACTGAATGTATCAAAATATGGGGTGGAATGCTGGAAAGACCCAGTGGGGCTCTATATCTTAGCTGCTGTCCGGCTGATCTATTTGTCTATGAATGGCTGTCATATCAATATGAGATTCTTCACCTTGAAGTTTACAGTGTCCACTAGTCACTAATACATGCTTTCAAGGGTAAACGTTTTGGTTGTGTCGAAAAAAGCCAACTTTTGCCCTGGGAGAATAGTCAAAATTTGGAAACTGTGAGAGCACTGCGGAAGTGTACTCGTGTTCGTTGTACTTTCAAACCAATTAAATTTATACCACATATGGCAGGGTTAGTAAGTTTGATAACAAGTTTATTGAGATTCACTTTTCAAGAAAACAAAGATTGTTGTACAAGTTTTAAGTTTGTTCATGGCAGCGATTGTATATGGTGCAAATAAATGGCATATTTGACTTGCATAAAAATCATCAAAGTGCCGCATTCATGATTTTTTAACAGCAAACATGGGTCCATGCCCAGGGACAATATGATTGGCAATCTGTAAAACTTTTTGACGGTGTACAGCTTGTAGTTGGGGGTTTTCACTATTGTTCTTCCACAAACTTTCATCATATTGATCTTCTTCACTTTCAAATAAATCTCCTGCCACAACAATGGTTCCATGATTCGTGTTTCTCACAACAACTGATACATCACTATGTGTGTGTCCTGGAGTTGGAATGATGTCAATATCATCTGAAAGCTTATACGATTTTTGCGATTCGAAACTGAAGTTTTCATACAAATCGCCTACAGAAATATCACGACTTACAATAGTTTTACATGAAAATAAGTTGAGATTTCCTACATGATCAGAATGTCCATGAGTGCAAACTAATGTTGTAATGTCCTTCACATTTAGGTTCTGTTCCTCAAGCAGACTTAATAATTTATCTTTGTTCCAAGGTCCACCAGTGTCAATCAAAATATTGCCAGCTTCTTTCGACTTTATCAAGGTTATGCTGCAATCTGCAGCAAATCCTTTTCCATCTTTTTGTGGCTTGCAATATCCATTTTGAAGAACAACAACTGAATTACTCATACTTAATTTTATATCATACAATTCCGACACAGGTTCGAACGAGTCTGCTTTTTAGAAGTCCAATAAAAGCTGAGGTAGTACTTTCTCAACATGTTCTACATTACAAGTTTGAGACCCTTCTTTATGTGCCTGGTTAGCCACGCGAGTACAAGCTTCCACGGCAAAAACTCGCAGAAGTTCTGCACAAACTTCCACAGACGGGTCTTTAGCCAGTATTTTGGTGCTGGAAGATTCCTTGAAACCGTTTGGAAGAAGTTTGGCGATAAATTTTCCTGTAAACTTCGCGGCGTCTCCCTGCGAGGACATCGATGCAATACCAGAATGACTACAAACAAGAGAGCTATGCTCAAATATACGGACACGTAGAGTCACATAATTTTGATGACGTCATAGCAAAAAAAAAAGTAATAGCCTTCTGGAGAAAATTTTTATCTTTAACCACTGAAAATTTCAAAGCAATTGGTCCAGTATTCGAAGAGAAAAGCGACTTTTTAAAAACGTGTCAAAGAACAAGAACAACAACAACAACATAATATTGAAACGATCGTTATGTCCACTACGTGTCCAATAATACATGAGTGATCATTACATGTAAGGCACCAAAATTTTTGAATGTAGTTGTCAAAGTGACTATTACAGTCTTAGATTTATAGTCACTTTGGTAGTTGTAGTATTACAAGGCCGCAAAATCATGCCATCATTTTCGAAATGGAGAACACGTAAAGATCCTGGCCTGAAAAAACTCTTTTTATACTCCACCATGGCAAATTTCCTTATGCTAACTCTGAGAGTGTTTTTGCGAGTTGGCGATCACAAATAAATATGAAATTTGCTTTGAAATGAAAAATTTTACAAATAAAATATGAAAATCCCACATCTGTATAAAAAAGTGCTTGAGCGTCTGATATGTGATCGCAATACAGCCAGTATGCTCCCCAGCTTGTAGGATGTAAGGAAATCAATTGTTACAGCTGGCTCCTCCCAGCATTATTAGTTTAGTTCCTGAATATGAAAAAAATTTGACCAATAGATAGTAAAAAATACAGCAATGCAACGGAGACTATATATAACTTTTGCTCGACCTATCGTTTGAGTTGTTAAAATGAATATTTCTGATAAAACGCCGGCATCGAATATGCGCCACAAAAGATAGCTGCAACGCCACATAATGTCATGACCTCTGACGTCGATTACCGGCCGACTTGTGCACAGACTTGTCGTCGTTGGTTTTTCTTCCATGTCGCGGGCTTGTTTTTCGTTTTCTGGCTGGTTGCTAAAGAATTAAGGAAGATGTTTGCCGTTTCAAGGACCGTAATATTTTCTCCGCAAGGGTAGGAATTTTTTAAAACTTAGATTTTAAATGTTATGAATCGTATTTCTTGGACGGATGATTTCGAATCGTCCACACTGCAATAATCTAAACATGTACCGGTACATGGTAATGAATACGGAATCGTGTCTTCCATTTACTTAATTTGAAATATTCAACCTGTTAATAAGAATACAGCAATAGGACCTATGTCATTGAAATGAGTCCTTTTTCTGCCTGTCCAAATGTCTGAATGTATACGGTAGCCAACTCATGCTCATAAAACAGTAAAATATCAATTATTGAACTGGTGATTGGAATGGAACATCTGTATGTGCATTTGACCATGCTCATAATTCACACAATCAACCACCCTACGGTACCTACTTTAAGGGGAAGGTCTGAAAGTAGGCACTCGGAAAAATGGGAAAATGAGTGTAGTTACTTCTAAAAACATAATGACCGATCGATCAAGAACTTCAATATAATGGAAAATTGTCGTCATAACTTTTTTGAAGTGTCTAGCATATGTAAGGTGATCAGGCGCATGCGACTCTTTCTGATAACCTACAACGTTTTTAAACCTCAATACCTGGTTTACTCATTGTACCTTCATTTACTTTGACTATTTTTAAATAATCATTATCTTTTTAGAAGTTACTACACCCATTTTCCTCCCTTTTTTCTGAAGTGCCTAATTTTCAAGTGCATGTTTTTAGTCCGTCCCTACTTTTAGACCATTTACTTGCTTGACTAACTCTTGTATATTTTCAGAGCACAAGTCCGCCATTCTTCTGGAAAGTTGAAAGAATGTAAGTGATGTCTTTACTATTTTGGACTGGTATTCATATAAATCTTTGGTAGTTGAGCCAAATTCAGTTTGGTAAACTTCGGAATATGTATTATTGTGGACTATTTTGGCCAAGTGATATGCTAATGTCAAGTGAATTTTAGACTTGACATTTACTAATATGCAGCATCCCTAATTACAATTTGCAACAGATTTGGGGTTTTTTTGAACAGATGGATTTCTAGTGTTTTTTGGGGTTCATCGTAATTTGAAGAAAACTAATACAAATATCACAATTTGTAAATGATATTTTCTTATTATTCAGTGGCTCTTCGTCTGAAATCTATCAAAAACATCCAGAAAATCACAAAGACAATGAAGATGATTTCAGCTGCCAAATATGCTCAGGCAGAAAAGGCGTTACGACCAGCAAGAGTATATGGAACTGGAGCACTGGGTAAAGTACTTCTTTTTCAACTTTCCAGCGTTTTATAATTTCTTAATTAATAAGACTGCATGTGCATGGTTTAATTAACTGCAATGAATTTCAAATTATATCCATACTTTGACATTTTAAAAATTTTGCGAGTAATTATATCCTTGAATGCTATATCGTAACTAGTTAGGAGATTTTGTTCATTTTTGCCCTCGTGACTGATAGCCTATTATAGTGATTTAGTCCCTGATCATTTTAAATTTTCAGCACCATTATCTAAAACATAGGGTACCTATTTTTCTTCTATTACTTCAAAACTCTTACCGGTAGATTCTTCCGAAAAATGAAATTTTGTTTGTTTTGACTACACATTTTTGTAAATTTAACATCAGACCTTCTTTTCGTGCCACCTCTGTGAAGTGCGATATTCGTTTGTCATGTTCGGCCTCAGTTGGACCATGAATAACAATATCAGTTATTGAATAAATTAATAATGTTAAATTGAATGTTGCTCTTTTCTAGCTGTATTCAATAAGACTGAAATTCCCACTGAAAATACATCACCTAAGCAATTGATGATAGCCTGCACCTCCGATCGTGGTCTGTGTGGACCTCTTCATGCAAACATCGTTCGAGCCATGAACAGTTACGTCGAAGAGCTGCCAGATGAAGTCGAAACAAAAGTTGTGACAATAGGAGATAAATCAAAACTCATCCTTCAAGTGTAAGTTAAACTTCTGATATTTGTTGAACTTCACTCAAATTTTGATCTTAAAAATAATCAGAGAAATATGGTATGTTTGTGTCATGCTGTTCAGGACTTGAAAAAGGCATCCCCACACTTCTTCAGGATTGCAATAAGGATGGGTATATGATACCGATTGGCATCCAGTACAATTAAATGCCGGGTGGCGGGTCTAGTGTAGTTTCGTACCTCAACTGCTTTTAGTGGGAGTAGCATAACAATTTATGCATATGTCAATCCTAACTAACCACAACCTGACTGTGTCATCCAAAAAATACGTCACTATGTAATTTTTGGATGGCGTAGTCAGGTGGGGGTTAGGATTGATATGTGCAAAAATCGTTACTGCTACTCCCACTAGAAATACTTGAGGTACGAAACTACACGAGACCCTAAATGTCCTTATTGAACAACAATTCTTAGGACACACACCCCTTTCAAATGTCTGTCATTGTCGACTTTTGAATTAAAGATTTTCATATGCGAATGTTTTTAGTACAATTTCAAATGTCTGTCAATGTCGACTTTCGAATTAAAGATTTCCATATGCGAATGTTTTTAGTACAAATCCTAAAGACATGTTGATGGAATGCAAAGAGTTGGGGAGAATTGCTCCTAACTTTACTGATGCAAGTGCTATTGCTGAGGGAATTTTAGACAGCGATTTCAAGTTTGATCATGGGAAAGTTTTCTACAATTATTTCAAGTAAGTTTGTGTAAATGTAACTTGTTCAGTGCATATATATGTATATATTTTATATTGTAAAATTTTTTAGCTGATATATCTAGTACAATATAATTTGACTAATCACTCAGTTGATCATCTGCCTTTTTTATATCTGTTTAAGTTAATCTTTACCCATATTAACAAAGTTCAATATCTTCTTAGATCAGCAATGTCTCAAATTATTACTCAGCAGCCAATTTATTCATCAGAAGCAGTTGCTGCAGCTCGTAAGTTTGTAAATGATTTCTTGTTCAAGCAAATATTTCCTACTACGGTATTTATAAGGGATATTGTTGACCTTCATTCCAAACAAGACTCTGTACAAGCAGTCATATAATTCCTTGTAGCTTCAGTAGTGGATCGATGAAGATTCCTACTTGACATTTACTGGTAGAATGGGTAAATTGCAAACAATTTTGTCATGTTTTGACTTTTTATCAGGAATTGCTGGTTACGACTCCTGCCAGTCAAACTTGCGTTGTATGAAGCTACTGAGACTGAACTATAATTTTGTAGGGCCAGTCGGATTAGTTGTTAATGATGCCTTTTGTATTGATTTGAAACGATCCAGATTAATGATATTCGAAAACATCATTTTATAGCTTTCCAGCCAAATGGTAAGATTTGCGCTTCGAAATAATGATTTCCAATATATTCCGTACCTTATACATACTTCTATGAGAGGCACAAACGAGGTTATTCGAGATACGAATATCGCTTCGACATAATTTACTTGCAAAGTTAACAGAATGATAAAATTTAAAAGGATATTAATCGTGTACTTGTACCGTTTGATGATGTTCATTTGTGTACATGTACAATTTTAGCAACTATGGCTGTGTTTGATTCGGTGGATGCTGATGTTCTTCAGAGTTACCAAGAATTTCAGTTAGTAAATACAATCTATTATACACTGAAAGAAAACTATGCTAGTGAACAAGGAGCCAGGATGGTTTGCATGGACGGTGCAACTAAGAATGCGGGTAAGTTATTGTGGATTATTTTTTATCTTATTCTTTCTCTTTTCAATATAAGTGTTGTAGTGAGTGACTGTTACTGGGCATTGGGTACTCTTGTAGTGTGTGTAGTAGTCCAGTGTAGTATTCCAATTTTCCCTATTACGAGTTCGGGGACTATATGTGTTGGCCATATGAATATACCCCCTGCCTATAGGCTTCAGTTCCTTTACACAACTCGATGTAAAGTAGGCAAACAAAATTAGTTCCTCCATATTGGTACACACCCTTCTGGAGCGCCGGGCATTAGACTTCTTGCTTAGCTTTGGAAGCTGGAATGCTATTGTTATTTCATACCTTTTTGATTTATAAGAATTTGTTAAAATATGGATAAAAGACTGATAGTGATTTTGGCATTGGTATATGCCAGGGTGTCCGAGGTAGTCGGCTCCGCGGGCCACAAAATTATTTTTGCATTGTTCGCGGGCCAAAATAGTGCCAAGAATAGGTAAACAGTGCAATACAAAACAAACACCTTTATTGTGCAAACACATAGTTATCAGGCATAGCCATTCTAGGCTAATAGAATCCGCATTAGTGTTCTATGATGCCTATATTGTTTGCATATATTCCCGACCAAAAAGTTAGAAAGCCAGATAACAATTTAGACTGCCAAGCACATCATTTACCTTCATTAGTTTCTCCAGCTAGCCATAACACTATTTAATTCAGCGACATTAGTGATTACAATATGCCAAGAGATTTTTCTGATTAATTTTATGACGGAACAACACGAAATGCGATTTTTTGATTACTCTCCGAATGTGACGCGGGCCCCAGATAATAAAGCGGCGGGCTACCGGGCCTGGGTTTGGACCACCCTGGTATATTCTTGGATAAAATATCAGGTGCTCCCGAATTATGCGAACCAAGATGGCGGACATCGGAACGTAACATGGGTAACAGGTTAGGGTTAGACGATAATTTTTTTCCAATTTTCCTTATTTTAGTCCTATTATCAGTTCGAAGACTAGCCAAGAGCCTCCCGTAGTATTTATACCTAAAATTATGGCCTAACCCTAACCTAGTACACATATTACATTCCGATGTCCGCCATCTTGGTTCGCATACTTCGGGAGCCCCAAATATCACAATAGATCAAGTTACATATTACAAACATGATTTGCGTTTTGGTCAACACTCAATCAACATACTTCTATGATTAAAAAATTAGATTCGAGTGCAATCTGAGGGCCTTGCTTCCAAACCAAAGATGACAGAAATTTTAACCACAGGAACTTCTGTTTCAGTTGAAAAGGCTTAAATCCCTGCAGCACACACATTATGTCAAATATTGTAATGTGGCTCAAACACTTGCATTTTACTGCATTATGATTTCTGTCGAACCTCCAAATACCAGTATATATTTTGCAGGCACTAAAAGTATGATAAAACTATTAATTGCCAGTCATAACAAAGTGATGTTGTCCATTCATTACATTCTAGTATAGTCTGATATGTAGGGTTGTATTTAGTGATGAAATCTGCTCTTTGTAAAACAGCATGTTAAATCACAGAGGATTACTAACCCTAGAAGCTTATATATTACTTACCTCAGCATAGCTCTTACTGGTTAGGTCAAACACATTGTTCATTCTTTTACAGGTGAAATTATCGACAAGATGACTCTGCTTTACAATAGATCAAGACAAGCTGTCATCACTACGGAGTTGATCGAAATTATATCTGGAATGGCTGCCTTGTAACCAGCCAGTTTATTTTAAGTTCAAAGAATTGAAATAGAATTTTTTTTATCAGGTCATGATTAGTCAGGTGTGTATTTTAGATAAATTAAGCTTGGTTAGGCTCAATTTATCTATGTTCACACTCGATAATTATGACCTGGTTCTGGACTAATGTTCCAAGCATCTTAAATTTACCAAAACCCAGTAGTCTGTTTATTCCTCTGCATTGATTCTTATCAATATTGAATAAAAATTAAAAAATCAATTGTCGTTTGACATTATTTTGGTATATGGTAGGTGTAAACTAAATTGTGTAAAAGTTTGCATGCGACCTGGCATATATATATATATTCGGATTCATTATGTACTAATCCATGCATCTGAAATAACTGGCTAACTTATCCATGCTCAACATAGACTGGTAACTCGACGAGAGGCCGTCGTACGCCATGTGATTAATTCGTCTTGGCTTCCTTTTTCCCGCTTTATTATGAAACCCATATCTTAAATCAACTATGAAGCGATCCCTATGGGTTTTCTGTGATAAGAATTCGAGTTTTTATTTATTTCGCGGAAACGTGCACTTAACAACAATGAACACAGAAGATTGAAACAGTGAAAAATTTTAAAAATAAAAGATTTAAACAGAAATACCAATTAACCCGTATTGCACACAAACATACGCAAAAAAACACCCAAGTCGATCGTTCGGGCATCTAACTTGTGTAACAACAATTCACTAGAATCGCAGAGGGTTTCAGTTTTAAATTGTTTACGTAACAAGATAAACTTCGAATGGCATTCTTTATGAATGAAATCGGGCATGAGTGCTGTGATCAAGTTCAAGTTTAACCATTCCCTCTTTTTTTTTGTTTCGAAGGATGCTGGCATGTGAAATTGGATGGCAGGTATCCAGTCGGTACAACGATGCCTTAGTAGTCCATATTAGTAGAATCCCGTGATCTTTTCAAGTGCCTAACTTTGCATCTGTTTCCATGGAAATTTCCACTAAGTGAGTTTTAACATAAGTGATATCGACACGTCCCACCCGCACCGTGTATTATGTGTGAAATATTGGAAAAATATTTTTATTCACTCAATCAAACACTGTAGCTAATAATTAATGATTATTCAAAAACTTGCGGTTTGTAAATGAACCATTGAATATGGTTAAAGTTCCAAAATTTCGACGATAAAAGCCTCACCAAGACTTGTTGACAGGTATATCAGTAATCTAGTATTGTGAGATTTATTCGTTCGCCCAAGCAGCCAAGTAAATAACTGTGGTAGGCTAGTAACTGCCTCCCGTAAGTTCTTCATTTTGAAGGAAGGCAATTCTTCATTTTCATATATTTGTACATAACTTGTTATCGCTGAGCTGAAACGTCACCGCAACAGCAGCAAGGGTTACAGATGATGTGAACCAAGATTTGCCAGTACGGGAATCATGAACGATTCGCAGACTTTATAAAATAAAGGATTCAGTTCACCAGACAAGCAGCGATACTCGCAGACCAGTCATATGATATCTAAATTTGAAACGCAAAAGTCGACTCTAATATTGGGTTGATATATACTCAAGTTTATCAAAGCAAATTACCATTGGGGGTTTCGGGTTCGCCCAATTGTAGAAACATGTTAAAACTGGTAAAGAATTCGGTCGTAAATTGAAATAAGTAAGTCATGTGGTATTTGTGTCTCTCTAAAAACAGTCTAAAGAGTTGAAAAACGGTCGTCCAATTTTAAAAGGGTTGCAAGAAGATAAAAACAACATTTTTAATATTTTGTATGGCAATGATTTGCAGAAAAAAATTAAAGGGTATCTGGATTTGCAAATTCTATAATATTTAGTCGAGGATTCACGGGAAAGACGCCTCATAAATAGAGGGCTGTTCAAAATTTTAGGTTTTTGGCCTTTGCCGCTGCCTTGGTTCCTTTCACATTAGCGCACTTTTTGGTAGTTTCCTTGATGACTCCAACAGCAACAGTCCCATGTCGCGGACGGCGAAATGACCAAGAGGAGAGAGGATACTGCTTTAACGCTTCAACACACATTGGTTTGCTTGGAACAAGTCTGACCATAGCTGCGTTACCAGTTTTAAAAAATTTTGGTTCAGCTTTCGCCCTGTGGCCTATAGCATTGATTCCCAAAGTGGGGTCCGCGGTTGCTTAGAGTCCGCGAAGCAATTTTAGAGGGGGGGAGCAACCTCGACTATTTCACAGAGGCATTGCTGAGTAAACTCATGCAAACAAAGCGATTCCGAAACTATCTTGTTGCACTCTAAGTATCGATGCACGATTTTCTGCTAGAAGTAAAACATGAAGTCCACAAAAATAGTGTGCCTGTCTCTGTGACGCTACTTGCTATTAAAACATAATGGGAATGAGACATGCATGGCATGTTGGTTCACTGTCCAAAACAGAACTCAAAATACATGCACTGGTACGTGCAGAGCTATGAGATGAAATTGGGTTCAGGGCTTGAAACTAAAATTTCCTTATTTCAGTCTTTTCTTTTCCCTTTAATCTTTCAAACAGGGCAAACCAATGTCTGGTACTTTTTCGTTCACTGTAAAATATTCATAACGTTGGCGAGTGGATGTGCCTTCCTAATCTTGACATGGAGTTGTGTGAAGTATATGGGGAACAATGGACCGGGGGTTAGTGGGACATGTCAAGCTGGGCGCAATTGATAGAGATGCGTTATGTTTTGTGTAACATTAGGTTATTCTTTGGCCCATGGTTCAATATGGAATATATTCTAGATTCCAAAAGATTTTTCAGAGTGTAGTCAAAAACGTAAATGATTTGCTTTAGACGGAATTAGACATTTTACTTGTTAATATATAAATGTTGGTTTTGTTGGACGCAGTGAACAGTTTGGTCATTGAATAAATTTCCCCTTTCATTTTTTGTTCTTTATGAACAGAACTCAAAATTCGTATTTGATGTTTATGGCCATTTTAACGAAGAAATGTCATCGTTGAGAACGTAAGTTCGAAACAAGTTACTCAATGGTACAACGGCAGATTCTTCAGATACGATTGACACCAAAGTGGTTTAATGTTGCTAATGCGGAAAATTTGTTTTAGGAAGTTTTTGGAAAAAGATATGAAATATTTTGGTTGAACATTGATTCCAAAGATACTAAATCTCCATATTTGATTATATTTTCATATCTCCATTCTCTTTGAAATCTATGTTCAACCAAAATATTGCATATATTTTTCCAAAAAATTCCTAAAACAAATTTTCCGCATTAGCAACATTAAACCACTTTGGTGTCAATAGTCCTTTAGAATTAGATGATGATGCCGATTATTCTATTTTATTAGACTGTCCCATTGTGCACCAGGGTGTGTCTGAACTCTGAATGTGCAGTGGGCTCAAAAGATGTAAAGGAAAAAAGTATCCCAACTTTCCCCAAGAACTACTAACGACATGCAATAAATGAATGCTTGATATAACGTGCTGCTATTCTGAATATCGTCACGCTAATAACCGAATTGCGTAAGTCATTTTTAGCAGTTTTGAGAAAAACTTCCTAATGATATTGTTATGCCATTGAGAGTCAATAATTTGCCATGGTTCAATTTTTTGGTTGTATCCGGATTTAAGTTAGTTTGTATGACGCAGTTATGTAACGTCATAAGGCAGAAATGTGTCTATGACTTAGGGACATACGCAATTTTGCAACTTGCCTATATGCACCAGTTCTGAAAACCAAACATTCCAAAAAATGAATGTAATTCTCAGTATATACGATGTCTAATCCCCAAATAAGGATAATCTGTTTCAATTACATTATTTTTTATGTTTAAAAATATATATTTCATCGCTCTGCACACCCACCGAAATAAGACTAAGATTAAGTATAAGGAATAAAACAGCAATGCACCCAATATAAAAGCCAACCAAGGTGAATTGGACTCGGACAGTGAATATCACAAGTGCACGCCTTCTTATACTGTAGTATAATGTAGTATAAATTCAAATTTATAAACGCTAAGCTACAATCTGAGATACAAAAACTTGAAAATACTTCGCCGAGGCTATTTGCCTTTGTGACGTCACAATAGTCTTACGTTAACAATGATAATTCATTATGACGAAACAATTGCACAAATCACAGGCACAATTGCACAGTCACAGGTGCGCAGCATTACATAAATACCTATTTTCTAAAAAACTCAAAATCGCCAAAAACGACTTACGCAATTCGGTTATTAGCCTGACGATATGTCCTTAACCGCGAGTCACCATAAAAATTGTGAGGAGGCTTTGATGCAAAATTTTCCTTATCGTTATCGCTGGTCAGGAGCGAAACTTTTCGTAGATATAGTGTATAATTTATTTGCAAATGAAAGTGTTCCATTCGTTTCTTTCAACATTTGCCCACATGCAATAAAACTAGATGAGATTTAAAACTAATTCTTGTAATATAAAATACCGTGAATATATATACATGTAAATCGTACTTCTGCAGAAATGCAATAGCCTATATATATATTGATCTTGAGACATGCTTTGTCTTCACATGCTAGCTGTTAAAGCATTGTAAACTAATAAGCATATAGATAATAAATTGGACTCAGGTATAGGCTTCGCAACGCAAAGGGATTGGAATGACTCACACGTACCAAATTAAATTACAAACTCCTTTAGCGGACTGCGCATCATTCAAAATTGGCATTTCTTCGCGGGCCGCATAATTTTTTCTTAAGGACCGATTTGGCCCGCGGGCCGCAGGCTTCACATCCCTGATCTACACCATGAATCGATGTATGAGGTGGCAGGAAAATAATAACAAGATAATATATAATATATTAATGAAAAAACGTGGTTCATGTCATCCAGAATATCTTGATTTTCAGGCAAAGCTTTCTAGAGTTTAAAAGATCTATAGAAGCCTGGACTGCTACAGAAGTACATTTATTTTTTATTATATATTATCATAAGCACTCAAAGATTTCAGTGAATATAGTTTTGATGTACAGTATTTCATCATTTCATTGAACTCCTTCTTTCGCGGGGACACGCAAAGTTGATGAATACCACAAATACAAACTTCATGGTGAAATAATAGAGATATCAACCACAGTATGAACTTTCCCAAATAATGATAGTTTTTGCATTTATTTCGTCGGAATGTCGTCTGTGACGTCGTTCAGTACATTTTAATTATATTGAATATTACTCACGGATATTGTATATATACATATAAATAATTTTAAGGAATGAATACTACGTATTTGAGAAGCCTGAAATTGAGATCTTCTGAATTCGGAAAACAATGCGATTTTAATTTGATTCACTCCATTCATTCACCCATTATAAGATAAGAAAGATATTCCCTTGTTGATTTGCCGTTTGAATGATGATTTATAACATTCGTGATGCCCTGTCGATAATTTTGTACCGCATATTAAATTATATTTAAGGGTACTATCGTTAATGCAAATACCGTATCAAGTCCCCTTTTACTTGACAGCCGGGATATTTTGGTTAAATCGACTGATCTAGTCATATCTTTATTGCCCGTCAATGGCACGTATGCTTTTTCATCAAATGCACAAAGAAAATTTGGTTTGTAATCAACTCGTTTGACAGCTCCAAACGAGTACGATTTGTCTCCGATTTTCCGCTTCTGAAAATGCCCACTTAAACGCGAGTGCCGGACGCGTGCGATTTAACGCTCTGTTGTTGAAATCCATCAAGTTGCCAACGATTTTTACAATTGACAGAGGGCGCTGTCGTCAAAATACCAACGAATTCGCGGACTTGTGATTTTTACACTCGAGACTGCTTTTCACAATATCCATTCTAATCTCTATCATATTAAAAGTAATTTATGTGTATACTCGTATACAAAATAAATATTACGCCCAAAACAATTCTATCAAATTTTATTCAAGAGAATGAACTAATCCTATAATTTTTTTCTCATAGGCGCGGGTGTGTCACTTTCCGTTGTCTTTTTTGATAATATCAAGAATCATTATTTCAAGTTCTGAACCATATTTCTAATTCAGAATCATAATTGGCAATAAGCGCAACACGGTTTGTCAACAACGACCAGTATATTAAAGATCGGGAAGGGATAAACAGGTGTCATAGGTTGCCATGAAATTCAAATATAAACTTATACGTCAAGAAGGTGAGACTGAATCCTTCTAAAAACAAATAAAAGATTCTCCAGTGCCTTAGTTCAAAATACCCTCTTATTCTGCCGCGCATTACCAAGATGGTATAGAATTCACACAAACTATTCTACCGATAATTTCACTTTTTTGTAGTCTTCCAACCAAATAATTAGGACTAAATTTTTGATGAAATTTTATATAATTATATCAACTTTTACAATTTATTTTCTTGATGTAAAAGCTTAGTCAAAAGGACGTGTCTTTCCCAAAATTCGAAGCAATTTATAATTAATTCTTCTGCCACAAACTAAATAGAATTAACAATTCTGATCAAATCGTCTAATTATCGATTTCCTTGTCCCCACTAATGCATTTTCAAAATAGTTTTAAAATCATTATTCGCACGACTATCAAAATCATTATGATGGAACGGGGGAGATTTCTAAAAGACACTCAATAAAAGTAGGCGTACAAGTAATTAACAATATCTTCGTACATGATAATCAAATCAATGAACTAGCTCGGTTCACGAAACTTCATTGTACACGCTCAGCCATGTATGCTTCCACAGACAGCATTTCATTAATCGTAAAACCACTACTAAATCGCTTAATGAGACATTAGACAATATTGCCCCCGCACCTTGAAACGAGTTTACGACGATGTGTTCCTGATGAATACACTTTTATTGAGCGTTGTTTTGCAGATACATTTTGCTTTGAAAATTAATAGAAAATTCAATTTTAAAGATGTCTATCAAAATAGCTCAATAGTGTGATTAATTGCATATACTTTACTATTTCACACGTAGAAAAAATATATTTCGTCATACTTTTTATTAACCTCTTTTCGAGTCTAGATATTTACAGGTAAAGCTCTTGTTTAAATCTACCACATTGATCCTGTTGATATTATTTCTTTTGTGCATCTGTTCAATTACATGCTAAGGCAAAATTATGGGTTACGTACAAGTTGTTGTGCTTCCGTCACTGTTTCATATTATAAACCGATGATTTTAAAATCAAGTATAATCTTCTTATGATAACTGATTCTTTGACTACAACAGCTATGTTTCACGTAAGCTACTATTAGTGCAACACAATGCGCAACAGTTCGCAAAATCATAACAGGAAGATTTGGTTTTTTATCCGTGCAATTAAATACTTTACTAGCGTGTAAACTCATTTTTCGTAGCGGATTAAATTGAAAGCCTAATAATTTTATTTGTCGTTTTGAGGCTTATTATCGTTATTTTTATTTTTTGCGATTACAATCATAAAATGTTATATATTTTGTTCTCAATAAGCGAGATCTCCATTATTAATTAATTTAAAATATAACGTATTTCAGTTCCCGCCTAATTTTTGAAATTTTGAAGTGATGTAGTAGTCACATTATAAAGCATCTGGCAAACTACTATTCCAACTAACATGAAATTAAATTGACATTGAGTTAATGACTTAAAATGACATCGACAAATGTGCTAGTTTATAACCCAACTCGTTTTGATAGAAAATCTGACATTGAATGATATAAAAAGTTATTTATTGATATTTATTTCAAGCAAATATTGAAATCTATTATTGAAAATATTAATTTGAACTTTGTATATAGTTACTCAAGTATTTTACAAGCTGAAAACGCGCAGTTAATTTTCCCAATTCAATCGCGCATTCCGTTTGATGTCCAACGTAAGATTACAAGGAATCTAAACAAATGGCACAATCCCTATCCTTGTCAATTTGTTGATATTACACCTAATTGTCACGCGTTACTTATCTGACATGGCCATGGCCGAACAGCCGGCGGTAGCCTACGCAGCAGACACATCACGGCGCGATAAACGACGTACCTCGTCACCAATGCCACTCCATGTAACCAGCAAGATGATATCTGCAATTTGTTTACTTGTAATATGTCCAAAATAACCGGTTTTAACTCGTTCCCCCGATGCCATTTGGGGTAAAAGTTGGACTGCATTCATTTTGCTGAATAATTAAACGTATTTTGTATGTTTTCGCGGATAAAGCCGGATATTTTACTTGACTTGGCACCTATTGTTTTGCGTCCGACAATATCAAACATTATTAGGTGTCAATTTCAAGTTGAATTCATAACTTATTTATAATTGCTTTTTAAATTGGGTATTTGCCAAAGTCTGCCCGTTAACCTGCCAGATGCTCGCAATTTAACTTTTCGCAATGCTATACTAAAACTAGCAAATACATTTTTACCCCGCAGATAGTACAATAAGTAAATATATGTACACATAAGTTGAGGCGTGCCGCAGTGTCATGTGACGATCGACTGCTTGCAGTAGATTGAACTATAATATGTAGTTGAAAATATGGCCGAGAGTTTTGTATATGTCCTACATCTCGGTTGTTAATTATAACCAGATATTTTATTATTTCTCTGTCATATTAATCTTAAAGTACAACGCGATGCATCATATTTAATTCTGAATATTCAACAGATTACTTGAAAAAATAAGTATGGATCACCAAAACATATCCGTGTATTAAAAGCTTTTTACGTAAATCATATAAAATCTGACACTGTCTTGTTTATATTTGCATATAGGGCAGGACTATTTTGTCCAAAATACACATCGGCCCCCTCGTTTTTTTTTTTTTTTTAAAAACAATGAAAACTGAAAATTTTGTAATCCTTCAATTCATCCCCACCAGCCTGTGTGGTTTTCTTATTGGATCTAAAATAGTAAAACTTATTTAAAGTAAAGCTTTTTAAAAGATATTTTACCACTTTGAAAAGGCGGTATAACAGAATCATTTGTTTAAAATACGTTAAGGTATATGGATTGAGATCCAAGGCTCCGTAACGTTTCCCAGGGTCGTGATTATAAAAACAAGAATGCATAATAAGACCCTTCGCCCGCCATTTTGTAAAATTTATGACAAGATAATTTTTTTCCTTGACAATTTTAAAAATAATAACGGTGTGTTGTACTAAAATAAGCCTTGTTTAAAAATTGATAAAAGTTAACCCTTCTCCCACCTACAATGGCTATGCATTGGAAAATGCTGCACACTTAGAAGGAGCGTTTTCATGAGTAGTTTTCACTGTTTCCCTACAAGAAACTTTCAAATTTCCACAAACGTGAAAACACATTTTTAATTTTGGTAATTTTAATGAGATCGGAACATCATCTGAAAGATGAATCGCAGAATGTGAGAATAATAACAGTAATAAAGGAAGACTGTAAGAAAATAATGAAAATCAATACAACGGTATTCCAAAAATGAAATTTTATTGATCAAATAATATCTATTCCAAGTCGTTGATATTTTCATCCCGTGTTACGTAGTGTTTATTTCTTTCATATTCGTTCAAGTATTTTTCTCACACGCTTTTCGCTGCGTTCTTGTTGTAGTCGTTACCGATCATCGCATTGCTAAGTACAAATATGTTTTCTAGAAAGTTTGACGCAAAACATTTCAGAAATCCTATTAAATTTATATTCATTTGCTTGGAAAACGGTCGGGGATTTGCAGATTAGGTGTATTAAAAAAATCCACCATGTTTGGGCTTCTTTATAGCACACCATATCTAACAATAAAAATTGGAATTTGAATCTTTATGACATCCACGAAAAATATTTTTTTTACGACAAATGAAGTTCATGCTCATAAATAAAAACGATGTAACCAAGCAGAGCAATGTTTAGACTCGACAGATATATTTTACAGAATAAACAACAATAAATGTTGATCAAACGAAATGAACAAACACAAACAATGAATATAGAAAACATCAGGAACGTAGTATTGAGCTTGAGTGAGGATCTCAAACTTTTCATTTTAATTAGAAAAGAAAAAAAGTTAAAAAATAAATACGAGAGTTGTTTTGAAAAAAAAAAAATTCAGAAGTGTTACAAATAGTATGAGGAATGTAAAAAATAAATGTACTATATTTTAATAACAGCTTTATCAGAGCAAAGTTTTGAAATAGCACATAGGTTTCGAATAATGCGCCAATACAAATTCGCTGTGCTGTTTTCATAAATGCGGAAACGTAATCATGTTGAATGAGTCTTTAGAAAACAGACAGGCAAACTTTCCACAGTATTGCAGTTAGAAAGGTAGGCTATTTAAATCTCAGAAATTGGTCATAACTCATTACACACCACTCATTACACTTTGATATATTGTCCAATATAAAATCGGGAACTAGACTAATATAGAAATCGCGCTTGACAATGATCAAATTTTACTGTGTGAAGTAAATATGCACATGCCCGTGTTCGATCGGCCATTATGATAAAGAATTGTGTGCCACTGCTTTTATTTTTAATTTTAAAATAGTAATAAGTTTACATAAAACATACGAAAAATATAGAACGTAAAAATGTAAGTAATTTGCACTAAAATTGAACAATTTTATTATGAAACATGATAATTTCACGCGTCAAAATCTCTTTTTGTTGAATAGCAATCAAACAAAATACAGTTTATGATTTCACGTTTCATAATTTCGTTTGCCAACATTTTTCCTTCGCTGGAAGGGGAGTAATTTTCATCTGGTTTCACATCCTCAAAGCCTGTATTGTCACGGCTAAATTTTCGAAGTATTGGTTCACACGAAAACATTACATTGTTTAATGACTTTGTGTTGACGTCATGTGATTGTAAACCCTATAAAAATCTCATTTGTTTTTAGTGACTTTCTACAGTGAACCAGTCTAATTTGCTGATTTCAGGATTGCTATCGAACTCGACTTTTAGCAAATAAAATATCCCATAGCAACCATTACAAAAATGGTCTTTATAAAACACATAGTCACCAGTTTAGTGACGACTGGTTTATTTGAAATTTAGCTCAAACTTCGGGAATATTCAGGAGAAAGTTGTTCACTTCGCGAGAGCAAATTATTTGTTTTCCAGAGTTGCTTGAAGATTGTGAAGAGCAAATAAAGAAGCGTTTCTCAAACATATTGGATCTGGAGCTGTTATCGGCGTTTTGGATAAAGCTTCTTGCTGTAATTGCATCATAAGTCTCTGTGCTGCTTGACGTTCTGCTTCTCTTTCCTCTGCAGTTTGTCGTCTGTAAAAAATATCACAGTTTATTGCGGTTTACTCCATTATTATTTATTTAAGTTTAAGGTAAAATTAGATGCTCTGATGTTAGATTAAACTAGGCTTGTAAAATTAAAATATGGCGCGTGAAAGGAGTGTAAAAGCGTCGTAAACAGAAGTACCCAGCACTACGATTAATATAACGTTATAATGTTCACTGCAAAATAATGTACGTTTATTTCGGGCGACAAACATTTTGTCAGTTGTAAAACCAGAAAAATGCCATATTTGTTTCTTACACCTGAATTTACTAACCATAAGTAAAAGGAAATTTACAAAGATCCTTAATTTTACAAGTGTTTATCCAAAGTAACACTTTTTAGTAAACCCTCATTAACTCACAACTTGTTAAAAACGATTTTTATGATTAATCTAAAATTGAACGAATATGAATGTTATTCACTTTCTGATTTAAGCCATATTTCCTGGTAATATGGCAGCAAGTTATGAATAGACGTATGTATATGCGAAAGGCACTGTCGGGTAACCCGTCTAAGAATACAACCAACTTGGCATGCACCGCTGAAAGACGCGATGGTGATATTCAAATGTTGCCAGAGACCAGAAATACAATTCTGAGTTCGACACTTATACAAAATTTAACAGGAATATTTAATGAACTCTCAAATACTGCCAGAAACGGAAAAGAAAAACATATATTCTGATGTGAAATCTTTCCAGAACACGTTTAAAAACAGCTTACAATGTGCTAATTAAATTTTCTTTCAAGAATAATTCATGTTTACCACATGTTAAAGTTAATAAATCGTATCATATTTCAACAGCGTTAATAGTTTTAAGTTCATCCGATTAATTCACAATTTGTAATTCCTGACAGTAATCCGAGTTGTCGTTTTAAGTTGATCTTGGACTTTAAATCAGATCAAAAATAGATCGTGATACCTCAGTGAATTTTTAAATTTAATCCATGTTTAATATAAACAAAAGATCAAACGAAATAACAAGACAGACTCATGTTTTTGCCTAATTTAAAATTTAGAAGTAAATATCAGCAATAATATTTTTCATAGCTGCGTTTATGGGAATCCACAAATATGTATTTACAAAGCGCATAATAGGTGCAATCGAATATCAATAATTCATAATTTATCAAATATGGCGAATCGATGGAATGAATCCCAGAGGATCGCTCATCTCTGGGCCTTGTTTGTTTGATTTAATTTGCCGTGCAATATAAGGTATATAACCTTCATCTTATTCCTAAAGTACATTATGATTACGGTAGCTTTCTAAGATGCAAATGCATTTACATGCTGTACAGTATAGAATGCTTATATATAACCAATTATAAAAAGCTATGATAAATGTAACAATGGAAATAAATTAATTGATAACTTGTTTTTCTTTACTGAAACAAAGCCAAACATGTTATATTAGTCAAAAATCCAATAAACGGAAATTAAATAAGTATTTTACGCGTATATTTCACTTGGGATATGATAAACTTTTCGGTCTAGGAAGAACCGGGAAGACTAGGTCTTTAGAAATGATGAAAACCCCCGTAAAGCCTTGCTTCATGTGAAAGTTTTTTACCCCTCGTAATAATATATATATATTCTCACGAAAGTTTACATTCCGGTCAAAGATAGAACCATATCAAGCAGTTTAGGAAATTGAACGTGTTTAACTATGAGATTTCTTTAAATTTTCAACGGTTCGCAGATATTTTTCGCTTCAACTCGCCAGAGTTTTAATTATGCCAACAAACAAGACATCTTTTTAAATCCATTTTAAGCTTTCAAGTCCAAACTTGTAATTTTCTGTTAGGTGCTAAAAAGTAAGCAATCTCATATAAATGTTACGTATTGTTGTACAACGTTGCATGATGGTCACAAGCTATACTTCTTCAAATATTAATCGCGATGGCGTCAAAATCGCAAACTAATGAATGAGTTAGACGGCGATGTTGTCATGAAATGCCAAACTTGCATGGATTATTCATAGGTTGAATGATGCTTTAGTCTTCAATTTGACTCAAATAGCATGGACATAGTCTCTACCAAATGTGCTTTAATTTTAATTGTCACACATACCACCCAAAGAATGGTCCCCTTACATATGACAACACAGTTACGAAGATCTTTTCTTAACACCTAATTGCAGTTTCATCTATTTGTAGTATCTAGCGGTGCATACAACTTTATCAATCTAATCTTTAAAAACAAACACCTCGAATTGTGAAGCACCATAAATATGAGTCGCTGCTTCCCATGGTCGACGATAACGTGACTCTTGAGCTAAATTCAAGTTGTCAATATATTTTCTTCGAATTTACTTTTGAAATAAAAACAAAACCTGATCAGACAAAAATAACACGGCCATAATTTCAAGTAAAATCCAGCCAAATTTTGTGTTCCACTGAGATCCACAATCATAATGTAAATTTGCTGTTACAGCATTTGCATTAAAGACAACTCTTGAGCAATTTCGAATCGAGCTGGTTGTCAGTTATTACAGTCATGTATATGAACACTGACAGGCATTTACTAAACTTACTCATTTGCGTACTGTGTTGAGATTAAGATTGAGGTAACCTCTTATTTAACCCAATATCTGATGAAACAAAATGACCCGTAATTGTATTTTGTCGCCATTTCTGCGCTTTTTTTATATCATATTTGCAGAAAGGTCCCCTACAGTTTATTAGTTTTTATACCAAAATAACTGCCTGTCAAATGAATAATATATGACTCGAGTTAATAGGGAAATTAAACGGTCGACGACTTTTTCAATTTCGACCGTCCCTAATGGCAAATATTGCATTCCGAGCGATGCGATTTAGGGGAGACGATTAGGGTCCCAAATCGTCTTTGTTTTTTCGCCCCGATTATTAATTTCGAATTTTGACTTTGGCCGCTCTGGGAAACGACAAGAAATGCCCCGAATAAAAAAGTAAAACCAAAAGAAACGCAATTCCTAATCTGTGGATTTTTCATTAACTTTCAATTTAATGGAAATAACGTCGTCCGCAAAATTGAGTTTGCGGCCCCTGGAACGGATTCGCACTCGGCCAGCTTTATCGCTCTATCTATTGTCTGGACTTGACGCCTTCACGTCGCTCCTTCGTCAGTTATCAGATCGATTGGAGCCACTTTATGCTGCATATCCGTTTATGCGTGTAATCTCGTTATAGTCCCTAAGAAATCGATGTATTTTCTTCTCGCCACCTTGTCACATTTTAGAAGTGAGAGTCTCGGTACGGTCAAGTCCGAACTTTAATTTTCAATTTTATGTATCACAATTTTTTTATTGCTTTACTGCTACGATTTTATATGTTTATGTGGAATTCTTTTGGTTTCATAAAAATCTGTATATCAAATTACTCTCATTCCGTTTATATCGAACCAAATTCTCGAATACGCAAAATCTCTTTTTAACGCTTGGACCAACTAGTCCAAACGCGATTTATGTTCGCTTGTGTCTTACGTCATGTCAAAGAGCGCATGCGCAATTACGTCGTTCTAGTCTGCGAACTCTCCAGATATTAAGTTACGAGAGATAATATTAAAACGTTAAGATTATGTACTGACCATTCTTAATATTGCTGTTATTAAGTCTTTATGAGACTTCAATCTGGGAAGCGTCGTACTTTTTAACTCGAATTATCATCTAAATACGGCGACTACATAGATGTCACATCCCGCCACAGTGTCTTGGAATGGTGTAAAAGAACACTGTTGTTGACAGGTACCGGTTGCATTTTGTGAAACTCTCTTGTGTCATGGGCAACGAGAAACGCTTCCATGACCAAAAACACGGAACTATTACAAAGCAGGCCAAATCTCTGCTTTAGAGCAGAAAACTTGCGTCCCCTCTTCTGCTTCGCTGCCGGCATTCGGCCATTCGCAATCAGACTGTCAGTCAATCAAGCCGACAGCGGTAAGATTTTGTTTGCCTCTTTTAAATTAACTAAAATTGAATTTCGCCAATTCTGTAACAACAACGTGTGGAACTGGAAAGGAGCCTGTTGAAATCAAAGGGACTAACTTGTGATATTAAAAAACAAATTGAATAAACACGATACATTTTTATTTGAAGAAAATGTTTGAAGTTCAAACACCCATAAAACAGTTGCGAAAATGTCAAATTTCAATCATGCATACATACAAAGAATGCGTTTAAAGGCACACTCAACGTTACAAAACGAATTAATTTAATAAATAGAAAATACACCATGGGAATTGGGTGAAATGTCTCGAAACATATTGGCCAGTGACCACGTCCACTCCGGGTCATGGTCCAATTTCACACTTTCGTAACAAGATTTGAAGAGTGAATTAATTCCGGTATCGACTAATCTTCTCTGTCTTTTTGCCCTCCAAATAATTCTAATCTTTCACTTAAGAATACCTTTGTCAGGTTGTAATTTATCCGAAACCCCGAGTGCGTGACTTCATATTTTACAATATTATTTAATATATTATTTAATATAATCACACTAAATATGCATCATCACTTGAGTGTGAATCCACCAAAAATATGCTTAGATTTACATGATTATTGTACAATTAAATTTTCACATATTAATTATCGACGAATAATACATTATACCATATCTGTAAAAGCTAATGCAAATTAAGCATGGGTTATTGATTAAACTGTTAAAATAAAAAGATTACTGACGAACAACCCACCATTTTTCGACTTATTTAGTAGTAATTTCGGCAGAACTGATTATTATTTACTATTATGTATGTAAGATACTAATCATTACGCACAGTAGGAAACTAATTGAAATGAAAACTAAGTGGAACTTGAGAATATATAAATACAAGAGAGCCATGCTCAAATATATGGACACGGAGGCCAAAACGAAGTAGTGCAGGCATCTAGTCTTTCACAGTACCGGTAGGGTACCGGTAGTATTTCCGACTTCGACTGACCATCATATTACGACCGCGAAGCCGCCACAAGGTGCGCAATTTTGCAATTTTTAGTTCCGTGACG